TGTATATCCACAATAATAATGACAATATGTTTGATAATACTAGTTTCGATTATATTTTACCTATCGCTGACAAGAGAAAACAAAAACAATCTTAGTCTGAAGAAATTGAATAAGATAAAGGGTCACATAACAAAGAAAATAAAGAAGCTATCTATAATATTATCACTGCTTCCACACATTAATAACGTGTTAGACAAAGAAGGAAAGACTATAGCTGAAAAACACATTTATCAATTCCTTATTCATACAATATAATAGTTATCAAGGTTCCATCTATATTACTAAATACAGAAAATTCTCAGTCTATTTTCAGTTGATAAAGGAAATAAAACACGCTATTACAAAAGTACAGAAGATACAACATAATCCAATTTTTACTATTGTTGATCTTGCAGCAAAAAACTCAAATAAGATGCCAAAAATGAAAGGACTCTTAAAGTGTCAGATATTCCCTTATTTGTCAAATCTGATATATTACATAACTTTTTTTTCAGATATAGAGCGATAATCTGATTCTAAATTATCGTTTGAAGTTCTTGGCAGATCGCCTTTATTGTATTTGAAAACGCTGATGTCATCAACCTATTTTATGACAAACTCTGATCAGTCCAATTTCTAGAAAATGCTCTCAGAGTTAAACCTACTGATCTTGACCTAATGCAACTTGCTTTATGCCAACAATATGAACTAAATCTCACCGATCTTCCTTATAATACTGACCAATAACAGTAGGTAACTTTTTTACACATGTTAATGCTAGAACGTGCTTCATCCCATGTGATCAACAATATAGTCTTAGATCATATGCTTTTATCAATTTTGCAATCCTCAAAAATCTTGATACTGCAGCTTTGCAGTCTCAAAAATTCAAAGAAAAAACTTTATACTGAATAAAACTATCTATCAAATAATGTCAAAGCTGTGGTACTCTCAGACATGAATACAAAGATTATACAAACTATAAACCATCCAACCCTTACAGACCGCTGTATGACCATTTCAAACCAGAACCTTACTATCCTCCAAGAAATACTACTTTTAATAAGTTTAACAGCACTATGCCATATATTAATACCCTCAAAAAAATCCTCATAACAAGGATGTCAAACAACTGTTCCCAATAATCCCAAATATTATTGATGCTTTGAAACTCATTCAAGAAAGACTCAACAACATAGAAAATAGACTAATCACAATTAGCGATAAAATAGTCTCCATCAAAATGATATTATTAAACATCCGCAAAATGAAGAAAACATAGGATTTTAATTAAATCGTCTTAAAATCATGCATAATATTGAATATGATGCTAAACACGCTACTAATCCAAACTATGTCTTTTTTTCACATAATGAATATTTTATGATTGAAGATACTATCCTATCACTGATCCAAGATACTCAAACATCAACCATTTCTAATGACATAATCGCTCCCCTACTACCATCACAAATAACCTTCAACAAATTGGTCTTATCAAATCATCAGTTAATAAAATTAAGAACGAAATGAGAAATTTGATCACCACTATTTGCCTTATTATTTAATTAAATATAATTTTCCAATAAGTGTACAACTTCAAACTAAAAATATAAATGGAACGTATCTTATAATTCCAATAAATAATAATACAATTACTAATACAAATCATCTATCAACTATTTATAATCCAAACTTATTCTCAAATGCCACACATAATATTTAAAGCTATGTATTACCAAACTGACTTCAACAAATTGAACAATTTTTTATTAATTTTAATTTAGATATTCTAGGCCTAAGTAAAACTTCTTATCTATCTCCAAGCTAGAAATATTAACAAAAACCTTTATAACAAACCATTTTAATTTTTTTTCACAGTTCGAATCATTTTAAAAACTGTCAGAAAGTTGGTCTATTAATTCAAAATAATCTTTATCCACATCTTTTCAATTAAGGTTCCTTTTTTGATAGAATACTATATTTAGATTTTCAATTCAAGAACAAATTTAAATTAAATATCATCTAAACATATCTGCCAGCTAGTTATCATGAAAAAAATTCTTTTAAACACAGAATCCAAATTCAAAACAAATAATAGATCTGCTAATATAAAGCCAAAAAACAATTTCCATATCATTCTAATGGGTGATTTCAACATTGACATTTCTAGAAATTATAATGCAAAATGTAAAAAGATCTTATCAAAGTTTTCTACATAATATTATTAATCTAGACTTCCTTTACACAATCTTTCCTTTTACATCCTCTTTTTCTGCTACTTTTACCTCATCTTCTAACTCCTTCTCTTCTTATATTGATTACATTTTTGTCTCATCTTCTCTTACATACGATCTTGTATCTTTTGATATTCTAAATGATTCATCATTCTTATATTCTTCTGATAATTTTCCTCTTCTTATTTCCTTATATAAAAACAACTTTTTCAATCAATCCTCTAACGCTTATTCAAAATAACATAAAGTAACCAAACAGAATTTCCTTTTTAACAAAACTACTCTTTTATAATAAAACTTTTTTGCTGATAAAATGAAACTTATTCTAAATACTAATTCAAAATATAAAAATTATACCGCTCAAGACCTCAGTGTGTCTCAAAATATTCTTAACGCAGCTTGGGATTTCTTTGTCAACACAGTTATTACTTTAGCAAAAAAACATATATCTAAATAAATGATCACTTCATATTACAACACTTTATTTACTTGTTCAAACTCTTTAATACACAAACAAATTAAAAAACTGTATAAATTTTATTACAAGATAAACAAATTCCTCATAAAATCACACTTGCCCCTATCACTATTTTCAATTTCTCTTGACGAATATAAATCATTCTTATCAATAGCTTCTCAATACTTTATTTCTACAGCCTTGATTGATGATTATTATTTAGCAAACCGCTTATTGAACTATTTAACTAAACTAAAATCTGATATTATCAAACCATGCAAGCTAAACAACAAATTATATCCAGAACTGAAAATAACGAAAGAGTTATAGAATTTATAAAACAAAGAAATGACAACTTCAAAGACTCTCCTATCAAAATGATTGATTATTGTCTAAAAAGAACTCAAAAAGCCATTATTCTTGATCAAATTATGATTAATGCAGATATACCAAATTAATATTTAGAATCTAAACATATTTCCTTTTTTCCTACCTACACTAATAAATATTATTTTGATACCTTACTTTCTCTTTTCAAAATAATTAAAGATAGTGTTACATTAATAATTATATGTATTAATTACTTGTATCGTAAGATATATTAGTTTTATTAATAGTATTAATTATTATTTTTTTTCTTTATTTTATTTTCAGTTTATTAGCATTTATTATTAGCGTTTTACTTCTATATATGTTTTATTTCATTTATTTCATTAGTATTGCTTAATGTTTTATTACTATTATTATTATTATAAGAAATTTGGCTAACAAAATTTAAGTTAGCGCAATGAAGATCACTGGCCATTAATATTTACTAGTTATTATTGTTCACTAGCCATTAATGTTCACTGATCATTATTGTTCACTATCATTAATGTTCGCTAGTCATTATTGTTCACTGGCCATTAATGTTCACTGGCCATAATTGTCCTGTTAGAAATTTATGTATATAAGTGGCAGAATTTCCTTTAATAAAAGAAACATAGTTTTTAACACAAAAAACAAAGAATAAAATACCCGCAAACTCGTAATAATAAACAGTTCATCCAATTCTTGAAAAAGTCTGATAAAATCCCTAAACAACGAATACATCCATTATTCCCTTTTACATTTTTATTATAATGAACTCAGAAAGATATAATTAATTATCATACCTGATCATATAGAGTGCTGATGTTGCAGACAATATGATATTTATATTGAATTAAAGTTGAAATTCTAATTATTATATTAAATATTAAATTAGTAAAATAATAAACATGATACCTTCTGCTTACCTTTAAACTCTGTTTATAACCCATAAACATCAAAGAACTGCTATTAACAATAATTTAAATTTTCTTGTGCTGCTATTAAATATTCTAATTGTTTAGGTGAACTAAAAAAGTATACTAATCTTTTAACTCTTAAAACAAAATTCTGAATATTTTGATTCACATTTAAAGCTTTTCTTATAATTAATTGTAATGTATGAAAAACACATGAAATTTTATTAATATTATACTCCTCCCCTGTAAAAAAAATTAGGTTAAATTATTCCATGTTTTATATTTCGTCTTTTTTCCTTTTATATAAATCTGAGTTTTTTCCATTTATATTAATATATATAAGGCTCCATGATTTTTCAGTAAATGTAGCATATTTCTGGAATTTTTATTATCAAAATATGGAAATTATTTGAAGATCACACTGAAAACATCGAACATTTAGTTGCCAAATATAAATTATTAAATAATTTCATTTTACTTAAAAATTCTGGATCTAATATAGTAATAATACCATTATTTTTCAAATACAAGCTATAATTAAAGCAAATGAAACTACAGAGTTTTTACTAAAATAAGCTAGTATAAAAATCTAACATTTTCTCAGTAATCAAATATTAAGTTATAATTAAGGCCAATAAAATCATGGAGTTTTTACTAAAGTAAACCATATAAAAGTTTACTATTTTCTAAAATAAAAATAATTTATTAATTTTCTCAATTCTTACCAGTTTTAGCTCTCTTACTAGATCTTGTTTAACGTAAAGTTTTCTTATCTTTGGTTTTACCTGCTTTTTTTTACTTTATAAAACAGAAAATAATAAGTATAGTTATAATTGTATAAATTCAAGAATAATCTATTGGCAATATTACATATACCTTGAGAGGTGTCAATAGTTTCAATGACAGTATTAGTGGAATCTAAAACATCAGTCGCAGTCGTGATAAGGAATGTAATTGCTATTATCATATATTGAAAGTAAGTAATGTAAAGTTTTATAATAAAAAACAAAACAATATTAAAAAATACAATCATATCTTCGGAATCTTGTACATTATCAGTTACTTCATTAAGAATGTTTTTATGTCTTTTAATTTACGTCTTTGTGGTGGAGGTTGAGTATTCTTTGGTAGTAAGTCTTGAAAAGTATTAACGATTTTGGTAGTATTAATGGAGCCCGAAGCATCTATTGTAATTGTAATAGAAGATATATCAAAAGCAAATATGTTGTTAATAAAAACAAAATATTAAAAATAAATTATACCTTCATAATCCTGTACATAATCAGCTACTACTTTTAATTTACGCCTTTGTGGTGAATGTCGAGTAATGATTTCAGTAGTATTAGTGAAGCCCAAAGCATCTATTGTAATTGTAATAGAAGATATATCAAAAGCAAATATGTTATTAATAAAAACAAAATAATAAAAATAAATTATACCTTTGGAATCCTATATATAATCAGCTACTTCTTTTAATTTACACCTTTGTGATGAAGGTTGAGGATTCTTCTTTGGTAGTAAGTCTTGAAAAGTGTTAACAGTCTTGGTAGTATTAGTGGATTCTGAAGCATCTATTGTAGTTGTAGTTGATAATGAGATGATTCTTATATATTAAAAGTAAGTAAAGTTATTAATGAAAACTAAAACAATATTAAAAAATACAATAATACCTTTAGAATCTTGTACTTCATCAGCTACTTCATTAAGAGTGTTATTTACATCTTCTATTTTATGTTTTTATGGTAGAGGTCGAGTGTTTTTCTTTGGTGATGGTGATGCAAGGCCTTGTTTCTTTGCTTCATTGATTTTTTCTTTTTTGCTTAATCAACTATCATTAATATAAATTTAGAATATAATTAAACCATTATTAAAAAACTGCCAAAAAATTCTTATCCATACTATTGCAATATGAAGTGAGTCAATTGTGAAGAATAAAATCAGATTCAGAGAATGGAAATGTTGGATTTGCTACTTTAAACTTTATAATAAATAAATATTAGTTTTTTATATCTTTTTGTAAATATAAATTCTGAATACCCTTACATCTTTTATAACTTCTTCTACTTTACCCTTTAGCTGATGGAAAAGAGATTCACCTCGTAAAAAATGGGATGCTACGCAGTTTCATAGATCATTCTGTAATATGATAAAATGTAAAATTAATAAACTATATAATATAACAAATATAAACATTTACCCTGAAATTCAAGTATTGGCTTTTATCAAGTTTTAGAAAATCATTTTATTGAAACTCTTTATTGATTTCCTTTTGATTTTTTTTATAATCATTGTAATCTTTAAGCTTGAGTGGATTCATCATAGACCCTAATGAAAACTATAATATAAATCATATTAGTCAAGTAATAAATATTTACAAAGAATAAAAAAAAACTTACTTGTTCATTTGTAATACCACATATGGGACTACGCGAATATGAAAGTGATCCTGTAAGAGAAGAATCAATGGCAATTAATATAACATATAAGTGACGATATTATTCAGGGCTTAGTAAACTGGATATAGACGAATCAGCATCAAATAACGCTGCAAAAAGATGATAACGCTGTTCAGGTGCAAATTTAGAAACATCAATTGAAACATTGTCTTTTTTCATTTGAAATTCAAAGATTTTTGAGAATAATATTTTTAATAAATAAAAGAAAGAATAAGTAAAGAAAAGAAAGTGTGCCTTGGTTATCCAGATTAATAGTACACTTTTTATTAGCGAGCTTTGGGAGGGTAGGCTCGTAAGATCCTCTGAGAGCTCGACGGAGTGTATATGACTTAATAAGCACCATTTCTAATCGGAGAAGGATTTTACCTGATTCTTCTTTCAAATAGCTTTCGATCTTTTGATCAATTT